CGAAGGAAATGTTGGAAAGGACCCAATCACTCACCTCGCTGTCTTCCATCGGGGGCGGCGGGGGCTCTTTAATAATCTGAAAAGGAGGGAAATGAATACAAAAGGTCACCTTAGGGTCCCTTTCAGGGCCTGTCCTCAGAAGATGCCACGACAGACACATTTTTCAATCTCCATTTAAAAACCACAGCCCTCAGATCTGGCCGGTCGCCTTCTGAGGAGCTGGCAAAATACCTGAACCCGTGAAGGTCCAAATTTAACCCTCCCCGCCAGCCCTGACAGAAAGAACTTCATAGCCAACAGAAAATGCGGCACCTTCTCAGCCTCGGCTTTTCTTCCCTAGCTTCTCATTTATGTCTGGGGTGCCCAACCGTGACAAACTTTTAAGGTCTGTGGACTTCAGCTCCTAGAATCCGACTGAATTGGGCGAATTACATAACCCATCAGCTGTTATTCATCTGTTTCCAGGGGTATACAGCTGTGAACATCAGGAGTGGCGCGGCAGCCTAGAAGTGGAGCTCTCACCTCACGATCAGGAGGCAGCAAGTTCAATCCCAGGTAGAGGCAGATATTTCTCTCTCTGGACACAATGAGAATGTATCTGCTGACAAAACTCCAGATCGGTGACAGGAAAGGCATCCGGCCAGGAAACACTCAGCTCCATTCAGCGGCCCACATTCCACCCCGCAAGGGATTATGGGGGTCATTAAAAGAAGATGATAGGTGTGACTATCATACAGTGGTGAAAGCTGCTTCATTCGTCCCAGCTGGCTAATATTTGGAAGCAGAATGTGTAGGGTTAGTTTGACCTGATCCGGTGGGGCTTGGAGCCTCTCTACTTCCCAGGACAGCTTTTGTCATCAGATGACTAAAGATCGAGGCCTTACCTCCCGTGAAAGCATTCACACCTACATCCGATCCATGCACACCAGCCTCCTTCAACAGGAGAACGAGGGAAATCTCATTGACATCAGTGGGGTTGCAATAGGATAGTTGTCCAGGCACCCTCACAGGGGTGACAGATACTGGCTTCAATTTGACTTTGCAATCAACTCCACCCCCTTTTAATGGGTGTGCAATCCTAAGATGCAGATTGCAAGGAGTGGGGAGTGGATCTCTACTAATGTGAACTCCACATACGCACAAATAGAGCTCTGTTTAATGAGAAACACACCCTTCTCTCATTCATCCTTGCTCAGCTGGACCAGAGAATGCAACCAACCATTTCCCATTCTTTTCTTTTCTTTTTTAACTCCCTTCTTTCCTGTCCAAAGGAATGTCAGCAGAGCTGATCCTTACTTAATTAGAAATTCTAGCAAGGCCAAAACTGCCTTGCTTCATCCAAGCTACTTACTTAGCTAAAATCCATTTCTTCCCCACCTAGGAAAATTTCCCAATAAATTATCGGCTAACGTGTTAATCTACCACGAGCCATTCGCTCCAATAATTCCTCATACATTTCATTGTATTTGTGTAACTATTTTTTTTTTTTTACATTTAGGGAGGAAGCTTCCTAATAGGATTGAGAAATAATGCCAGCCTTTATCTCCCTGGCTGGAAAGTGACTGTCAAAGGACTGTTAACTTCATTATTATTATTATTTCCTCCAGACCGATGGGAAAATGTGCAAGCTGTATCTTGAAAGATTCCTTGGAGGATTCAGCCCAGACTCTGGTTTTCTTCTCCAGCTTCATTCAATATCCATCGAGCAGGCCAGCTCGCTTCTTCCTACTTTTCCTGTCTTAAAGGCTGGAATTGCAAACACGAGGTTTTCAAGATTCTTCTTTCCACATGATTCCCCCCATAAGATGTTTTCTCTCTGGAACATGGCCTTGGTTCACTTCACCTTCTTTCCAGAACGCTTTTTAAAAGCAGGGGACGTGGCTCTGACTTGCTTTTAAACTTTTGAGAGAAGATTGCTCAATTTGGCCCTCAGGATAGAGAAATAGAACTGCTAAAAAGTTCCAAGCATAGAGGTGTCTGGTAGAAAGTGCAGTTATTTGAAAATTAGTTGCATTGCACAGTCAGGGTGCAAAACTGCCTTTTGGCCTTGCGGAGATGCCACTGGACACAAATCAGGCCTTTGGTTATATTGCAATTGTGGGGCATATATACTCACAATGTCTAAGATTCCAGCTCCATTAGTTTTTTTTTTTTTCCTAAACAGAGATCTGTATGTTTTTCTTGGATCCACCACTTCATTATGATACGGTGACGAGAAGAGAGCAGAATGTAGAATAGAACAGAATGAGACTAGAGTAGAATAGAACAGGAAAAAAAAAAAGAAATAGAATAGAATGCAGAGCAGAATAGAAAGAACAGAATTCAGGATAGAGTAGACTAGAATGCAGAATAAAATGCAACGTAGAATAGAATGTAGAATAGAATTGAATCAAATAGAATAGAATGTTATTGAGAGAGCGAAAAGGGCTACTGATGAACTGGTATCATTTAAGGGGATCTGTTTTTAGACATTATTTTTAAAGAGTTGGGTGCACACACACACACACACTTCCTTCTCTGGGAAATTCTGGGAGTTGATGTCTTAAAGTTGCCATGGTTGGACATCCCAGGTCTAAAGGAGTAACGTCCACTGAATTTTTGTCATGCGTGTTCTTGCATCCATGTTTTGTCATGGATGTTCTTGTAAACATGATGAAAGTTCACCAACCAAGGGTAGCAGAAGCCCTCCTGGGCAGCAGAACTGCTAACAAATCAGCCTCATCTGGGTGAGCTGTAATTCCTGGGAAAGAATCGTGTTGATCGTATCAGCGTGTTTCGGGTACAATCTTGGTGCTACTCGCTTCTCGCTGTAGGGTTGGCCTTACGTGGTTAGCTGGCATTTGTGCCTTCAATGGCTTCTGTCTTCCTTCAGCAGCTGCAGCAGCTTCCTATCGTCTGCAGAAAGCAGATCTAGAACCTCTAGATCTAGCACCCCTTAGGGCTGAGGATTGGTGGGCGTGGCGTGGTAGGGGAAGGATATACTGCAAAATCCCCCTTCCCTCCCCACCCCACTAACCTGCTTTCCAGCTCCGTTCTCCTGGGCAGGGCAACCAAAGGAGACCCAGCCGATCAGCTGGGACCCGATGGGAGGCGGAGAAGAGGTGGGGTTGGCGGGGCCAGTCAGAGGCAGCATTTGCCCGTTCTCCGAACTACTCAGAATTTCCGCTACCAGTTCTGCAGAACCGGCTGAATCCCACCTCTGATACAAGTAGCAAAAGTTGAAATCTCCTGGGATCCTAAACTCCATACATTCCCAGAAATCTCACTTCTGCAGGCACACCCGCAGCATCCATATTTTTAAATGACCTCATCCGACAAAGCAGTGCAACCGAAAAGGAGGACGTCGTTTTCCTCCTTACAAACTATTCATCGTAAGCAACCTTGTGGCTTTCTCTGGGAGCGATTTTCTCCCCTTCTTGACGTAGAAGGCCAGCCAAAAGGGAGAACTGAATACCAGGGACTTACCACAGTACAGCAAAGGGGCCAGAACCACCAGAGGAGAGCCAGAGCCAAGAGAATGAAGAGGATCAGCAAGATAATTGCCAGGATGGTCCCATCAGACTGCAAAAGGAAGCATCACGGTTAAGTCAGGGAGGAACTTCAGGGCTTACGGGTCTTCTGTTCCGTCTGTCAACCCTCGTCCCAATTTTGGGTCAACTGCCACTCTCACACGAGTTGTTAAGTTGGTAACCTGGTTGTGAAGCGAACCTGATTCGGGGACACCAAAACCATCATAAGTACATGCCAGTTGCCAACCGTCTGAATTTTGACCACGGGACCATGGTGCATCCTTAATTCACAAGCAAGTAACTACAGATTGCTGCATTACCCCCAGGATGTGACTGTTGTGGTCAGTCGGCATCCTGCGGAGCTGGCAACAGAGTCAGACAGTGGTGAGGAACATAGGCCAGTCCAGGAGTCTGGGGAGGGCTCGGACAAGGGATCTGTGTCTGACACAGAGATGGAGCCAGGGCCATCTGAGAGTTAAGTGCTGACTCCGGAGTCTCCAGAATCTGACAGCAGCAAGGCAGAGGAACAGCGGGAGCCTGTTCCCAGTGTGCGCTTGCGCACAGCTGCCAGAAGGCAAGAGCAGTTAAGACAAAAGGGGTGACTCAGGAGTAAGGCTTGGAGATAACTGGCCCCTCCCATAAGACATAAAGGAGGAGCAAAGGGACAGGAACCTTTGCAGGAAGCAACTATGTTCGTTCTGGTCGATTTAAACTCTGAAGCTCCATGTTGACTTTGTGCTCCGTTTGGCCTTGTCCAGCTAATGGGCAATTTAGACATTGGCAGCATTTCAAGGGAGATCAAGGTGGGTGCTTATCACCCTTATCTGTGGCAGACTTCTGTTGAACTATTCATAAACTGTTTAGGACTCATTATGGGCTGTGAATGCATATAAAAACAAGATTTTTGGGAACAGCGTGTGATCGTTACTGCCTCGGGAAGCCTTGGTCAGAATAGTGACCAAATTGCTCCTTAGGGATAACTACTCCCAGTTGAAGAACCACCACTTTAGAGCAGGGGTCTCCAACCGTGGCAACTTTAAGACTTGTAGAGGCTGGCTGAGGAACTCTGCGAGTTGAAGTCCACAAGTCTTAAAGTTGTCAAGGTTGGAGAGACCAGCAACGAAGCTCCAATGACACCCTGGCTTGAAAGCACAAACTGTTTGGGTCAAGTTGGGATATATGATTTTAATTTGGAGCAGAGAAGGTGTGTATTGCACTAATCCAGCGAACAGTAGATGGAATATACATTTTAATAGATCTGAATATACCAGACCGAGGACCGTTTCAGCAGGAGTCACCTCCTCTTCCTGTCATTAAAATGCCCCGAAAATGGATTATTTCACTTTGCTTCCAAAATGTAATCTCAAAGACAGACTGTGCATTTTCCCCAAACCAGCTAATATTCCTGAATCGTTCCTGACTGATGTCATCAGGCTTTGGGGATCAGCTAGCAAGCAAAATTAGGCCTGGCAAAGACTTACGAGGCTTTGGTTTTATAGAACCAGACTGTTAAAATAACACAAATGACCCATGGGTAGGTTTCCTTCTGCTGTGAAATAGCACTCTGGAGCTTGGCTGATCCTGGCCCACCAGAGGCTGGGTTGGTTGATGAGAGAAAAGCTCCTGCGCCCAGCCGTGTTGATTATTCAGCACTCAGGAACTGGAAGCGGAACCGAGAGGTCGCCCCACCAGAGCTTAGCACCACATTATGGACGTGATCAAAAGTCTTGGGTGCCCAACTCTCACTTCTCCTGTTTTTCGTGGCTGAGAAAACTCCATCCAGCTCCAAAGCATTTGGAGAGCCCCACCTTGAGGGAATCCACATTAAAGAATGGCTAGAAAATGCCAACCAACCAGAATGGAAAGTCGCTGCCAGTTCTCTCTAGAATGGCAACCGGAGAACTTCTGACTTGCCAGCTGAAGATCCTTCTAGCTGGAGAGTGAACTGGACTGTCTGTACAAAGGTTAACCGAATAACAGAGTTGGAAGGGACCTTGGAGGTCTTCTAGTCCAACCCCCCTGCAGGAGACCCTATATAGACCATTCCAGACAAGGGGCTGCCCAGTCTCTTCATAAAGGCCTCCAGTGATGGAGCAGCCACAACCTCTGGAGGCAAGCAGTTCCACTGGTTAATTGTTCTCATTATGAGGACATTTCCCCTTAGTTCCACATTACTTCTCTTCTTGATTGGTTTCCATCCGTTTTTTTCTTGTCCTGCCTTTTGGTGCTTTGGAAAATAGGTTGACCCCCTTGCCTTTGTGGAAGCCCATCAAATATGTTGCCTACACTTTGACTTAAGTATAGTTTATAAAATATTCTGCTTTAATGTACTACCAATCGATGACGTTTTCACCTTCAAGTGCAACAATACAAGAGCACACAACAGAAACAAACTCAATGTAAACCAATCCAAACTTGATTGCAGAAAGTACGACTTCAGCCACAGAGTGGTCAATGCCTGGGACACACTACCTGACTGTTGTTACATCCTCAAACCCCCCCCCCACTCCTTTACCCTTAAACTATCCACTATTGACCTCACCCCCTTCCTAAATGGTATATAAGGGGGCGTGCATAAGCGCACAATCGTGCCTACCATCCCTGTCCTATTGTCCCCATTTATTCATACCTATTTCCTGTATTTATACTTATGTTTAATATTTTGAAAGCTATTGACAAATAAATGAATAGAAATAAATACTGGAACACTGCTATCATGTCACCCCTAGTCCTTCGTTTCGCTAGACTGGACCAACCATGCCCAGTTCCTGCAGCCATTCTTCATATGTTTTAGCCTCCAGCCCTCTAATCTTCCTTGACCATCTTTTTTATAATAGGGTGACCAAAACTGGATGCCGTATTCCAAGTGTGGTTGTCTATCTACATGATGTTCCACCATGAAACCCCTGTCCCTTCCCTGAGCCTTTCCTCCCCACTGGAGACCCTTAGGGGACCCCAATCCTTGCTCTACTGACATAATATTTTGCTGGGATCATGCTGGACTTTCCTGGCTGTCTAACAGAAACCTATTGTCCTCGGTGATGAAGAGAGAGAATTTGATGCGCCTGTTCGTTGATTGCCATGGCTATTCCACACTCCTTCGAAGATACAGAGACCACCCCCAGAGTCTATCATGGATTACTCAGGGCTGATCTGAATATCAGGACTCCCTCCAGAAATGTCTGTGGGCCTGCCCTAACCCTTAGACATCACAGACTCAGGGATGGGTTAAGCCAGGAAGACAGATAGGTTTCTGAACAAAAAAGACTTGGCAAAAACACGTTCCAAACCACGAGACAATATGAGAATGAGATAAAGCCAGCCTTGCATTTCAAGGTCATTCTGACGTAAGCTGTAAGTGGAAAGGAGGCAAAAATCACAGGAGAGGCACAGACTTCGATGGAGAGTTAAGACTGAAGAAAGAACAAGGGCAAGCAGCCTGCCTTCCGCTGAGGACTTGTAGATTGCGCGGGTCAGAAGGAGGGCTGGGAAGACACCTGCAAACCCCTCACCTCCTGGACACAAACTGTTTCAACTCCTTCCCTGCACTGCGTGCCAGGACAACTAAACAGAAGGACAGTTTTTCCCCCTCATGCCATCACTCTGCTAAATACCTCATTCTCCCAGTTCTGTCTAATGCTTATGTGCATTTACCATTTAGTATGGCTATAGTTATTATTATTTAGCTGTTGTTGTTATTATTATCCTTATTTTTTATTATTATTTAAAAGAGAGTCAAGCTATTCCCCAAAGCCCCTGAGGGCAGGACAAGAAGCAACGGGTGGAAACTAATCAAGGAGAGAAGCGACCTAGAACTAAAGAGACATTTCCTGACAGTTAGAACAATAATTAATTGGAAAGGGTTGTCTTGAGAAGTTGTGGATGCTCCAACACTGGAAGTTTTAAAAGAGATGTTGGATAACCATTTGCCTGAAGTGGTGTAGGGTTTCCTGCCAAGCCAGGGGGGTGGACTAGAAGACCTCCAAGGTCCCTTCCAACTCTGTTATTCTACTCTACTCTACTCTATTCTTAATTCTATTCTATTCTTCTTATCTTCTTTATTTCCCCTTTATTGATATTATTATTATTACTATTACTACTACTACTATTATTATTCTCTTGCTTTGCATCTACATTGTGTGCTTTTTTACTGGAGACAAATCCCTTGTGTGTCTTAGTTATTCTTTGTTGAGTGATTTCATTTCCAAGAGGAAAATGAATTTAATACAATTATAGAAAAGAAGGCCATTTAAGTCCAGTCCTTCAGCGTCTCTTCAGTATATGTCTATATCTTTAGGCATTTGTTGTCCTAGGCATATCGCTTGCTGCAGTAGAAAAAAATTCTGTTTATCCTTGTTTAATGTTCTTTTCTCTAGGCTAAAATATATGTAATTTATTTTGTTTTAGTTGATTTATCCCCCTTGTAGGTCTCCTTAAATTGTTTCCACCCTAGGAATGTTCTTCTTGAACCCCTTTGGCACCCAAACTAAACAAAGAGGAGAGTCCAAAGGAGAAATTATGCCCCAGTCCAATTCTTTGCAAAATTCTCCATGCTTGGAGCCAGAAGCGATGCAAAGTCTATGGAGTTCTCAAATCACAAATTCAGAATGTAATCCAGGAGGGGAGCCAGAGAATTGTTTTCAATTAAAGGCATAATAAAACAGCAGTAGAACACATTAATTCTAGCTTTAAAAAAATAGTTTATTAATTAACAGCTTTAATCTTGTTGCCATTGAACGCAATGTTTCAAAGCATTTTCTACCACTGACTACTTAGCCAGGGTAATTATTTTTAGAACATTTTTTTCTGAATTGTCAGAAACGACCCCACTGTGATACTGTACCACATTTCTTATGGAACAAAGTTGTTCAAGTTGCCAGATGTTTGAAAGTAACTCTACACAGCTGGGGGAAAAAAACACAATTTCGGATCATTCCCATCACTGGTGTTCCTCTTGCTTGCTTGCTCTCACTTGCTCTCTGTCCGGGGTCTCCAAAAACCTTGGCAACTGTAGGACTTGTGGACTTCAAATCCAGAATTCCTTAACTAGCA